TGAGTTATCATGACTAACCGTAACTGAGACTTAACTTCTAAACTATTTTGTTTAATCTGTTTGCAATGTATGTACCTACCTGAGAATGTTAGTTGAGTCATTCGACTATCCCATATGACTACATGAATGAGATTTTTGCAGTTGGAAGAGCATTCGCCTGCTCACGTAAATATCGCTGGTTTAAGTCCAGCCTGGCAATTAAGACAGTTGCTCTATTTTCAAGCGAAATCTTATATTATATTTAGTCGAACATTACATAAATATTTGTGGTACTCTTTTATTTCTAAGTAATAAGCACAGGTTTTGACCTAACGTTACAAATTACATTTTTAAATGGTTAAGCTTAGATAGTGACATACCACCGATAAAATGATGCGCTGATCTATGGAACTCGGTCACTTAGTGACAGGATACCAATTTGCCGCCAACATGGAGTTACATAAAATTTAATACTTTTACTTACAAGCCAATTCCGTGAATATAAATTGATATTAATCCAGCAAAGGGCGCATCTTATTTATGTACTTGTTGTATTTATGTCTAATATTTTCTCTTTCGATATAAACAGAAGAGTGCCCTATTCGAAATTAATTACTTATTTATTAATCTTAACACAACCTCATTATGCCAATTCAGAAGGGATATGTACCTCATTAAAAAAAAACATTTTTGTCCTAAAATAAAAGATGCATAAAAAATTATAAAAGCCATAAAATAAAAAAGAAAAGATTCCAAATCAACACAAAGTATTCTTATTTTTATCACATGAATTACTACAATAGATAACTAGGTACCAGCAAAAAATAGTTTTGATTTTATTTTATACTAAAAGCAAATTTTTCTTAACAAATCATTTCTAATAATAATAACGATAACTATAGGAAAATCTCATAATTTAACATGCAAACTTTACGCAAATCAAATAATTCCATTGTTTTGTGTTGTACATAGGTAATTATAACTATAAATCAATCTACTCTTTGTCTAACGCCATATTACAGGTCTCACAGGAAGTTCTTATAACCTTTGAATTCTTATGACCGATGAAGCTAGCAGAATAAAACATCGAATATTACTAATTAAATAAAAGACAAATACGTAGAACACAAATTATAATAATTGAAATAACCCGTTTAGGTATAAGCATACGAGCTCAAAAAGATGTAAAGAGAATGCAATAAAATATTTTATAATATTAAATCGAAAAAAAAAAATTTAATTAATTTTTTTACAAGATAATGCACGATAAAAATAATTCCAAATTCAAGTTTAGAACTTTCCTCCATCGCAATCCACGACTGTTCTTAGTGAATATGTATTCATATACATAAAGAAAATTAAAAGGTAGTTAAAATATTCAAAATAAAAAAAATACTACACCATTGTGCTATCCAAACGCACCAGCATAATCAATGCACTCCATAACCCTTAAATTGTAAATAACGAAAAACTGACCACCGCAACTTTACATGTGATATTCAAATGAACCAACTCATATTACTAAATAAACATTGCATACAATGAATTATTTAGACCTGCTATAATTTAATTGACAACGAAACTTATGAAAAAAAAAATCTACGCTTCGTTAGTTAAAAGAAACCCATATTGGTTATTTACATTCCTTTAAAGAAAAATTCTGACGACATCTTTTTGTGTTATTCATTTGCTTAAGTATATCAAATTAAACTAAATTGTAAAAAGTAAACAATTCAAAAAATTAAATATATATATTGACAAAAAAAATCTACCATTATGTAATTCAGTATTTTGTTTTTTTTTTTCACGAATACTTTTTATTTACTTCTTTAATACTAGTATCTCAACACTCGCGTGTTTACTCGGTATGTGGCACGCAAGCAGACGAAAGCGTGCGACCATGAAGCCATGTGGCGAGGCACTGCCGGGCCACCGGCGTGCCACTCACCACCCACCGCTATCGCCAAACTCTCCCCAGGATCGAACTTTCTTCAGCTTTACAGCCTCATTGTTATGGACTTATTATAATATTATTAAGAAGAAGATTTGATTGTTTGCATCAAATAGGCTCCAAAAGTACTGAACCGATCTTGAAGATTCTTTCAACTATGGTAATCTCCATAATACATAAGCTGTAATGTAAGCGGGAAAATAGGTTCGTATCCAGGAAAATATATGAACCTATAACTGAGCGTAAAAACAAAAAACTAGACGAAATCAACGTACGCGTGTTGACGCGTATATGGTAATAGATAAGGATAGAAGATGGTGTATTGCGCGTCAAAAACTGTTAATTTAAATACCCGCAAATCTGCTACGAGTAGCTCGGTGGCTTAGTGGATAAACACCCCGGCCAGCGATCGTTGTTAATAAGCAGCTTTCGTATGGTAGATTTCGTATTCAGGGGATGGATGATCAAAAATTATTATCTTTAGCCAATTCATGCTTCAGAAGGCGCGTTAAGCCGTTGGTCTCGGCTGCAGTCGTTGATACCCTCCAATCCGCATTGGACCAGTGTGGTCATGTCTCCCACAGTAGGGACGTTGAAGGGCTGATGCTGATATTTTTAAAATTAGTTATATAAACTAGTCTAGCTATAAGTTCTGTTACAAAGAATATAGGTATCCGATAATTTCTAAAAATATTATTTTATTTTAAAGTTTTATAATTATGTGATTATGTAGAGTGAAAAAGGTACGTTAGCTTTAACGCACGCTTTTAAACGGTCGAGCCATTCGTCGATGGATTTACAAACGGTTTCTTTTGGAAACTTGGTCACTGCTGCCTCCAAAGATTCCTTGAGCGACTCAATATTTGGGTCACGCTTAGAGCAGGCCATGTAGCACAGACAATTTATAGTCCAAAGGGTTTAAGTCAGGACTAGCCGTAGGTCAATTATCAGCCTTTATGAAGTCTGGAACATTTTGCTCAACCAAATTTTTTCATCGGTAAAGAGAATTTTTCTGTTTCGTCCGCGTGTCGAAGTAACAGCTGTTTTGATCTCTCGACTCTCTTTTGTTTTAGAGCCTGATTTTAGGTATGCCCTGTGTATCTCCGGTAAGCGCCTAGACCTAAGTCTTGTTTGATAATTCTAGTAAGTGTCCTCAATGGGATTATCATTTCTCTGGAAAAGATTTTCAGCTTCCTTATGGGATTTCGACAAATTCTGACTTTGACTGCATTAACGGCCTCGTTTGTTCGAATAGACAGCGGTCGGCCGGATCTATCACGCTCATTAACAGACATGGTTTCAGTTTACGACGATACGATACGTGCGATACACCAACATTCGGCTAATACCTAGCTTTTTAATGTATTAAAATGTCGGCTGGCTCCTTACCTACCTTGTACATTGCAATTACTGCAATCCTATTCTTTATAGTACCCCACTCCATTTTCAAAACAAATAATTTATAAACCAAAAACATACAATAATGGCGAGAAAGAAGTATATTTTTATCGTAAAAGTTCAAAATTTAAGTATTTTTTTTAATGTACGTAAACAGTCAGTAGCAGAATTTATGGCTAGACTAGATAAAGCCCTAACTATAAAGTGAATAACATATTTATCGATTTTCCCTAATTAAAAAATCTAATCGATTCTCATGGCATACGAAGCCCATTATCAGCCGTATTTACGACACCCACTGCTAATTATATATGTCCCCCATTGATCTCCACGATATCGCGGCTCCACGTATCCACCGGTCGGACGCTGAGCGTCGTCCTCTGTGTGGTCCCAATTCCAGAAAAGCAGAACACCTAGCGGCAATCGCTTAACAGGAAAAAAGTAAAATTTCGAGTATTTGACTTCGTAATTTAAGATAAATAAAACTATGAGAAAACCTAATATGCAAAAATTAGCATAAACAAATAACTAGTAGACACATTAAAATAGATATCGGTACATATATGTACTGTACCGTTTCAATTAAAGAGAAATTTCTGAAGTTTTTCTTTTTAGACCACGAACCGTGATCAACACGCGATCCAGGTGCCTGCTATCTTAATCATAAGCATTGTGTTATGTAGATTTAAATCAAAACAAAAAATATTTTAAAGACGAAATAACCTAACTTTTTTTGCTGAAGTACAAATAAGTTTTTTGCTTAGCTTATTTTCATTTTTTCAATTCTGTAGGATGAACTTCAAGATTTAAGTAGGCATTATCTGCAAAAATAAATCTTAAAAGGTAACGGGTTTTGGGAAAAGTTAACGAAAAACTTCTGGAACAAAAACTTATCTTTTTGTTCAATTACAATGAAGGTTAACACTATTAGGTACACTATAAGGTACATCAATAAGAATTCCTATATTTTTTTAGTAAAAGGTAAATGGACACAATAATTAAAAAAAAAAGTATTTACAACTCAATATTAATTTAATTTCCTACAGTTTCCGAAAAGAAGACATTTTACAACCCTATTAAATGAAATGACAACATTTATCTTGATGTTCGATCAAAGTATAATTTTGGAAATACCTACTTTTTTACTTTACTTAGGTAGGGAAGTAGGTATATACATGATTTAAAACATAGATAAATACTTTTAAATCGATTAATATCTATCTTCCGTCAGTTATACAATACAGCAAAGAAAAATACCAAATAATACATTAGATTGACCAAAATAATTTTCTCGTTTTACCGATAATACTATAAATGTAAATGTCACTTTTTGATGCAAACCATCTTAGTTACCTATTACTGAGCTTAGGTAATTACCTATATTTTAACATTTTAAACAAAGGACTACCGACGAAAGGTAACAAGACACCGACATTTAAATAAGTAAAATTAATGAACAAGTATTTAATATAAATATTTCACTCAGGAATTCATATTATATTAAATACATATATTGAAATGAGCGATCTGACCGTTGTTTTCGAGAATGGGCAATTTCACCGCGCCACTGTCGCGACGCCACCCCAGAACGAGGCCTTAACAGCAGATAATTAGTCAAATTATAAATGAAGAAAAAAGCAAAGTGCTATTTAAAATTTTATTCATAGCTTGTTAGGTCATAACTTAGTTTAGATACGTATTATTTTGAAAAAACATTAAATAAGATTTACTTGAATAAATAGGTATGTACATACAATGGCTTTGTGATAAAAGGCGAGTCAGGGAAAAACACTTTTTTATTGGTGTATATTTTCTAAACACTACTGTTTCCTCTTACAACTATCATATACCCAATATATTTGAATGAAGACTGCTAGAAAATTATAAAAAATATGTTATACATGCACGTCAATTTGGTTTAAATCTCCGAGCTATCTTAAAAAAAATAGAAAATAAACATTAATAAAAATGTAGGTAACAAGTTCAACGATGTCTTTCAGAAACTGAAACTGAAAAAACAAAACTTACACATTCTACAATTATTAGACTACTTATATTTATTCGTATTTCTTAATAATATTTGTGTTCGAACCTTAACTAAAACCATTTCTCTATAAAATAATATCTTTCATTCGTATTTTATGGCGGTACTGCGGTAGTTTTTCCCCAACCTATGTATACAAAAACTGTGGAGTATGAATATAACAGTCCACAGACTGGTGGATTATAACGTTGTTTCTTCATAGGGGACGGTTCAATAGGAGGACGAGCGGGGTGATTGATTCCTAGTTCTCCATTGCCGAAGCATCCAGTAATCCTAGTATTAGGAAACTCGGCACGAAAACAATCTTCCTCAATCTCGTGTTTTGAATCGCGACCGACGCACGACAATTTGAGGGCAACACTGTGCTCGAACCGAGGTACTTTTTTTGAGAACTGAAATAGGAAACAGAAAGGTTGAGATTTCTAAAACTTCACAGTCATATTATGGCAAGTTAATTCTTCTACACTACTATAATCGGCTGCTTGACAGTTTATAAGAAAGATTATATAATATGTTGGAAATGGTAACTTACATGTAAGCTACTACTATATAAGTAACAACTACTACTCGTACGAATTAACGTGACAGCTGAAGACCTATTTACCCAACTGCGCGACGTAAAGTGTTTATGTGTTTATTATTCTATTTCTCTGTAAACGAAATATCATATATTTTTGCAATGCTAATAGCAATCCAAGGAAACGCACGTTTCGATAAGTTTTGGTGCAACAGAGGGCCTGACACTGCCTCTGATGCACAGATAATATTCATGGATATGATTTTAACAAAATTATAAGAACGGTTCGAAACTGTCCGAATTTTCGTTCGAGAACAAATAGAATAACCCCTCTAAAACTCAAGTGATTCTAATTGGCAGTTCTCATTTTACTTCTAGGGTTAGTCCTGAGTTACTACCTTCAGTAATTTTTAACGGTATTGTGATTCCCTATTCAAAAACTGTTAGAAACCTTGGCGTCATCTTCGATCAAAATCTTTCCTGGAAGCCGCAAGTGGATGCCGTTAGAAAAAAGGTATTTGCCACGTACTATTCACTTAATAGACTACGCAACTTTTTGCCTACTAGTACTAAAGTCTCTTTAGCTCATTCGTTATTGTTACCGATCATAGACTACGCTGATGTTTGCTACACGGATCTATCAGAGGAACTTCTCAACAAATTAGAGCGTCTGCAGAATATTTGTATCCGATTCATTTTTAACCTTCGTAAATTTGACCATGTGTCGAATTTTCGTTCCAGATTGTCTTGGCTCCCTATTCGCCGGCGCAGGGACTTACACACTTTAAAGTTACTATATTCTATACTTTTCCTACCTTCCTCTCCACACAATAGGCTTTCAATTGTTATGTTAATTCGCACGAGTTATACTTAGTATTTTTAGTTTAAACAAAAATTATGATCATATTTTATTTTTGCGAAATTAACTTGCGAGTTATAATCTGTGGATTAAAATAACTGAAACGCGAGCGGCCTTAATGGAGTAGCGTGTGACGTCAGATTGCAATAAACTAAACGACTTTGTAGCAAGTGCAACCAGTACTGTATTGAATTGTAATGTCACGCCTCCAAATAATATTTACCACGAAAATAATCATATTTTCGTGGTAAAATTTAAATTAATGAATATAAGTGGATTTTTTCTTTATTGATTTATACTTTTTGGAGAAAGATAAATCTAGTAGTGATTTACTGCAATTATATGAAAGGTTTAAAATACTTTCTTCAAAACAGTCAAGTAGCCAATATCAATATTATATGACAATAAATGACAACAGTGCTCTCATTGGCCATCATAATGTGGAACATTCACAATTATATTTATCAATGAAAAAAGTTATAAGCGTCTTTTATCATAATATGTATTATAAAGTACCTCATTAATTGTCTTCTGTATCTTAGCTTTACTCCAATCAGGTGATTCAATAACAAGGGAATACATATCAAAATTGTATTTGCCACTCTGCTCAGCACTACTAGTACTCTTTGGCACTGTAAACATTGCTATCGTAATTAGATTTTCACTAATAAAATCGTTGCCATCATGGTCAAAACGATACTTTTGTATACTCTCCACAAGTTGATTATTGTCACTTTGTTCTAAAGTATCTTCAACAATGCATCCTCCTAATGCATATGGGATGTCTGGTTGACTGCAACAAGAATAATAATTTTATGAGCATTCCTAATAACCAATATTATACAGAAATTACTATGAAAATATCAATTAAGAAAACTTACACCTCTTTGAAGTAATTCAAATAGGAACTCTCCTCAATAAATGACTGTAGTATAAATTTTTCTGTTACATAAACTAGAACACCTTTAAAAATGCGACTCTGAGCCAAACTTGACAAGACATCATAAAAATCCCTTTGCAAGTCAGTGTTTGTAGTGATGTTAATCACATGAAATTTAACATCAGGTATTAGTGGTATATAGATTCCACATAAAAACGGGAAAGTTCTTTTCAACATCCGAAGCCTGATTGTATGATCATATGTTGTAGATTGTGTCAAAGGGCGATATGATAAATAGTGGGCTCGTACAGTCAGCATGCACTCTTTAGGAGCAGTAATTTTATGATGCACGTAATCCATTACTGAAAACATAAAACAAAACAATATAAAATAACTAAAAGTAATCTTTAAGCATTTTTCATTTAATATATCAAAATAGTATTGTAAATGCAAAATTGATCAAATATAATTAAAATATTAATCAGTACAAGAATAATCAGATTTTTCTTATTTTCAGTCTATAACATAAATATAATTATATAAATTCACATTAGTAACACCTAAATCAAGGAAAGGAATAGCAATATGTAATACTAAGTGCAAGAGAAAAAGCTGAAAAAACAAACAGCACCAAAGATTAAGTGAAGTGTTTGAGAGAGATAATGTGAGCAAAAGTAAGAGACATGTAGTGCTACTACACAAAAATGATACTGAGGTCTAGGGATAACAACATTATTTACTTCCCAGCTCACATAATACTTTTGATCAATGTCATTTATTTGCCTAAACTTAAGAATAGAGTACATTCTCAATAATATGATTATGAAGTTACTTACAAGAATGTTCTTTCTCACAGGGAGGTTCACATGGACTGGGTAACAACACCATACATTTATTGGTGGCCCCAATACCAGTATCATTGACAAAGCCAAAAACTATTAGAGGTTCTGTATGAAATACTCCAGATTGCTTCAACTTCACACCATTTCTTATTTGGTTTAAATGTAAGTCAACCACAAAGTCATTGGGAGACATCTGTTCTCTCTGGAGAGCCAGAACTGCTGAATGCCATGTATGACAAACATTCTTAGATAGCAATTTATCTTGCCAAGACAAGTTACTTAAAATCCTTTTCACTATAACATAGTTGTTCATTACATTATCTTTCAAATGACTGTCGCATACAACTTCCTCAGTATCTCGAAGCAACTGCCGTCTCTCAATGTGTGCGAGTACATGTTCTGGGAGTGACAATTTTGCACAGGATGTTGATAAATTACTTGAGTTACTCTCATTATCGCTTTCATATGAGTCCTCATCATCACTACGATCTAAAACTGCATTGCTATCCATATTTATATTTCAGTTACAATTTGATCATCATGAATTCGTTGTAATGGATCTCCTTTAAGGAGTGCTAGTATAAAGCAGTATAGGTATATGAAGAAAAACAGTAAGTAATATCCAATGTTTATCATAACATCCCGCAAATGTTTCTTCAGTTGTCCTCGGTTGTGTATTTCAGCAGGGTCGTAAGCACCAAGATTACCTTGTGGTATAGTCAAATACTCGAAAGTCAACCATATAAACATGGGTAGATTCAATAAAAAAAGTATTACTTGTCCATGGAGCAACAAAATAAATGTAACGAAAGAATGTGCTATATATTTCGGGACGAGCCAATAATTCAACTTCTCACAGCACTCTTGAGCGTTCAAATAATCACATTCTAAATCTGACAAGGTAATTATATAGTAAACTAAAAGAAATAAAATAGCACCGGTATCGATTAACGACAAAGAGAACAACAAAGTTTCAGCCAATATCATCACTAACACTTTATGCGCTATTTGACGACAAAGGCTCAATATTTTTACCTTAAATATCAGCAAAATATTAATTAAAAGAATAAAACTAGCAAATATTCCATTCTAATATGACTACAATTAGACATTACAAAAACAGCGATTACTTTTCCTTCCAACCAAGAAATTTTTTCTCAGTCATAGAGTATCTCAGTAGTACTAGTAGAGTACTAGTAGTTTCGTCCGTGGGACAGGCGAAGGAACTAAGCCATACAGCCAAATCTTGGGTGAAAATATAACAATGACCAAAGAGTAAAGTAACGACCTTTAAGTAAAAAGACCAAAGAATATACCATTTTTTATGGTTTGATTGATTTTCCGTTCCTATAGGGCAAAGGGTAGTAAGTCCATACAGCCTGGAAACCAAATATGTCAAACCGTAAGGTTACACCAAGGACGAATATAGATATTACATAACAAGACGATTAACTCTGCAAAATTGTAATTACAAAAATGAACTAAATTACTATCGGTTAAAATATAATTTTGATTGATTCTTTAATAAGTTATTCCGAGCCGAGCTATAAGAGCTATATGAAAAGCTGTGTGCTTAGTTTTTTTAATATTGCCACGATAAAAAAAATATTTTTGATTAAAATTTTTAACTAAAAATCCTTAGTGGAAATAGTTGGATTTAAAACGTCATTCCCCACGCACATTATATTCGTGGGTATGTTCCGATATACATTGCGACCACTGAACAGTATGACGTCAATTTAGTATACTGGAAGCCCGTTCCTTTATAGCTAGTTATACTGGTGACTTTTAAAAACGGAACGCAGTCCAGTATACTGTTAATCCTATTTTTGGCGCCATTTTCAAATTTGTTAATGCAAGGTGAATATAAAGATTCCCTTTTTTCAAAAGAAAATATTATAAAATTGGAAAATTGTATAAAAAAATTATTTATCAATCAAATCCATCTTATAATAAACGTAAGTATTTTATTTTATCTGTTTCGACTGATCACGTGGTCAAAAGCACTGCGAGCACTGCACCTCGAAATCTCCAGTGCTCACAGTACAAATATGGCGGCAATTCATGACGTCATAAACTTCCCTACGGTACTGTAGCAGTATACTGGCAGTCCATAACGGAACAGATTTTTCAGCAGTAAGACCACTGCGCAGTGCTCGCAGTGTATATCGGAACATACCCCCAATCTTCTAAACTGTAGTACTATAGTTCTTTAAAACGTCACGTCTTTTTTGCATAAAATTCATAAGACATTGCAACTTGTGACATCGTAAGAGTGTTACCAATGGTCCCCAGGGGTTCCGAAACCTATGTAAACAGAAACAAGATTTATGTCAAAAAATTTATTTAACATTCTTTTCTTAAGCTAATAAAGGCTTGGTAAATATTTACAAGGCTTCATTACAGGGCAAGGTAAAAAACTATCCAATTACTCTAAATCCGACTCTTGTGGTTATCACATCATACTTTAATTACATCCATAGAGTTGGCTTTGATACACTCGAATAGTCATATTGCTTACTTGATTATTGTATCATATATGTTCAAAGCAATGCTAACAATGTGATTATTAGACGTAGTTGAAAAAGATACCGAGTTAAAAAGAAGCCAACCACAAGTTGTTATACTAAAATTGCAGAGAGCAAAGTTCATTATATATTAAAAACCAGCTTTCTCACTTCGGATCAGAATATGTATATAGCCTACTATAAAACAAATATTAAAACTCTCCTAAAATAGTTACAACAATAATAATAACAAATATGCAGATATTATGTATGCTATATCAAAACATTAATCTCACTTAGTTTCTTGTTAAATAAGTTTAAACTAAAAACTTGAAGAAAAGCTACAATAACACTAGGCCAGTTACGATGGAAGAGTCTTAATGCAGGTTACAGTCCACTGCAATTATTTCATTAGGTAATATCAATTGCATCAACACTTGCTGCATGCACATGTTAAAACGTGTTATAATCATATCTAAGCTCCATAACATACACAAATTTTCCATAGATATAATTGGCTAATGGTACAAAATTTTGGTTAATGAGCAAATAGACTTTTTAAAATTACTTTATAATTCGATTAACTAGTTAGAAAACATGGATTTATTTTAAATTCACTTAGATAATGGAATTCAACTTAATATTTATTCAATGTATTAAACATTATAAAATAGTTACATTTTCAGCAATGCTAGAAGACTCAAACGAGTTATTAAAACATAATTATTGTTCAAATAGACCATAATTACACAATTTTATGTTATGCTCTGTGTTAAGTGACCATTTGATTTACATTCTGTGGTGTTAATGAACTTCTACTATTTTAAAATAATATCTTAGATAATTTATAGCACCATTCCCTACATGATAGTACTACAAAACAGTGGCTATTTGAAGTACAATCACATATCTGACCACCTAAACATTTGATACATACCAATACTGCCCCCATAAGCCAACAAGCAATATGTTAAAAATATATCTTTCTGATTATTATTATTACATAGAGTATAGAATTGCTATCTGATGTAATTACATCAGATTTTTGAGATGACGCTTTTTGGCTTTTGAGGGCATAATAGTTGAACTTGAGAAACAGTCTCCCTGCATAATAATCAGTAGTTCGACTGAGTCTCAAGGTCATGATAGTATTTTGATACTATCAATGGACTATTGCTACCGCAACAACACTAACTCAAACCATATAATATACTATGTATTGCTGAAAATCTTATCCTATGAATGGGTTCAATAAATATTTATTATGGAAACTCTTTTGATGTCACGTAAGGTAGCATACGTGAGTATTGGCACACGAGGGCAGTAAACCTCATTCGTTGTTATTTAATCATAATGTAATATAAATGCAATTAATGGCAATATGTTATCGATTCACGAATTTCCGCATTTAACAATCAAACTCCTGTGAAAATGGCAAACGAAATATAAATTAGTGGAACGACACTCATACGATTAAAATTAATGAACGCATAACAGAAACAAACTGTGGGTACACTATTTAAGGTGCAAATAAATATTAAATATAAAAATTATGCATACAAACAACTATGCAAGCACACTTTTTATAACCGAATATAACCATATTGTGGCAAAAGCGGTATAAATAAACAAAAAGTTACATAATCATCATATCGCATCTATTCTACACTTTTACCTTGGAATGATACATTTTCAAGAATGTTAATAATTTATTCTAATTCCATCAACAACTTCATCAAATCAGTTTTTTTGGTAACTCGTATCTAACGATTATTATTTTAAGAGATTGCTAGTTCTATTTGGGAGTGCGTTTGCATACTTGTTTGTAAGCGAGGAGTCGTCCTCCCAAGTTTACCTAAATGAATTCTAACATTGTTCCCAAGCTGGTCCCACCCATGACGATGGCTTGTGAATGCGCATCTCAACTCTCTCCTTGTAACAATTGGTAACATGAATCAATAAAGCAACATAACATAAATCCTACTGAGAGATGAGTGCTCTTGTGCCACTATTTGCACTTCAACAAGACTGGAATGTCACTTATTGATTTGGGAAATAGTTATCCGTTCCGATAGGACAAAGCGGATTTTAGTAATCGACACATCATCAACTTTTATATATTTTAAATAATAAATAATCATAACTTCTACGCAGGCAGGAGTCTCGCAGATTGATCGTTTGCGTCCCAATACAACAACTCTTTCTTATTATAATTTTTTTCCCTAAAGTTTAGTCATCGGGCGGAATGCAGAAATCCACAACTATGTTGAGTATTTTTACTTTCAATATATACATAAGTAGATACTTATAAATAGAAAATATAATGGATTTATTATATGTGAGCTAAGTGCGTCGTAGCGCACACTGCGGTTACACTCACCAAGAATATGGTTTTATAAATTAATCTATTTATCAACTAGCGACACAAAAATTTCACATTATCTATTAAGTACAAAGTAGAAATAAGTCCTTCAATAACGACAACACTATGTGTTAAGAGTATATAAACATTTATATCTTTCCTTACTGCCGTTAGTCACCATCCTGGAAGAACGAGTCACTGAAGAAAGACTAGTGTTACACTCGGATCATCACTCGGTGATGGCCGATATAATTTACATTGTATAAATTTTCTCCGCACCAATACGAATTATATCACTCGCACATCTGTTTTAAAACATTTGCACGTATGCCGTTACACAAAGAGAGCAGGAGACCCGTTACTGCATGAGTCGGTGTTAAAAAGAGATCATAGTTTGAGCATCGACGAGCGATACTCTTGGAGGCATGCGGTCGAGGGTCAGGTGGCGTCATACTCAATTTTGTCCCAAGAGTAATGTTTGAGGGCCGGACGAGGCGGCGGACGAGAGAATACTCCGCCGAGAAGGGGATCGCACTGAGGCACGTGACCGCGGCCGAAAACATTAGGAATTATTTCAGTGTCCATATCATAAGCGGAGTAGTCGTATCCGTCGTTATCCACGTTCATATTAGTGGGCGCGTCGATACCGAACTCTTTTAGATCTATCTCGCACGATCGGTCGTCAAACGGTCCGTGTCGAGTGTCGTCGTTCTGAAAGGAAGGCAAAGATAAATCGTCCATGTAATCAAACCCAGTACGAGTGTGGTCGAGCAAATCTCCGTTGGTCAGTGGGGTCATACTCATTCTTTCGGGCACGTCGTCACTGACGTCCATGTGTGTCGGTTGCGATCTATCGTCGACGTGATGACTCTCGCCTGAGAGAAGACTACCGAAGAAGTCGTCGTGATCGGTGGACGTCGGATCGGATCCGCCGAATTCGGTAGGAAAATCACTATTCGACAGCAGGTCCACGCTCAGTTCGGTATCGATGTCGGTCGACGTCGGATCGACATCGCACGGATCGACGATACCGTTGACCGTTTGGAGATCGGCATGACTCATGATCTCATTCTGTATATCGTCCAATTCCCTCTGCAACTCGTCCGCCGCCAACGAGTCCCGAACGTGCGGATCACAGAGCACGTCATCAGTGAGAACGTCGGCAGGGGAGAACGCGTTCGCCGTCGACGGTCCGAAGCCGCCACCCATGGATGCGCTCGCTGACGGGTCCCCGACGGCCGACGGGGGCAGCTCGCCGTTCTCCACGAGAATTTCGAGCACGTCGTCCATGATCCGACTGTCCTCGGCGTGGTCGCGGATCGGGGTGAGATGAACTCTCGCAACGGGCATCGGCGGCGGAGGAGGGGGAGGCGGTGGCGGGGGTGGCGGCGCAGCGCGCTCCGGCTCGTAGTGAGGCGACGGCAGAATTGCGATCGGAACTACTTTGACGCCGTTCAAGATGTACGCGGAGTTGGTCGCTTTTTGGGGCGAGACGTCCTGCGAGACGTCAGTGGAGGCGGGCGAGGGTGCGACGGCGAACACGCGCACGAGGCGATCGGGCGCCGCGTCGGCGGAGGCGGCGATCACGTACCTGGAGGCGGGCGGGGCGGGCGCGGGCGGCTGCTGCAGCGCGTCCAGCTGGGCGCGTAGCTGGGACACGCAGATGTGCGCCTGCAGCAGCCGCCGGCTCTGGTCGCTGGCGGCCGCGCCCGCCGCCTCGCGCCGCACCGCCTCCAGCTGCTGCCTGGACGCCTCCAGCTTACGCTCCAGCTCCTCGATCTGCCTCCGCTGCGATTGCACTATGTCCTCCGGCGGTTCGTGCTCCACCCTCGGGTCGGGCGAAGCGAGCGACGCGATAGAAGCGACCGACGCCGGCGACCTCGGCGGCTCCTCCTGCTTCTCTATCAGGAACGGCCTCAGCCTATCGATCAGTTGCGGTTTCGGTCCAGACACGCGAAGATTCCGCCTCTTGCACTCGGCACGCAGATCGGATACTTTCATGTCTTCGAACCGGGAAGCGACCGACAAGGGCGCGGTGAGGAGGGGTGGGGGCGGCGGCGGCGGGGGCGCATACACGTCGGACGTGTCGGAGGTGATAGATGCCGCGGATGAGGGCGCCGGCGACGCGGGCATCAACTGCAGGAGCAGCTGCTGTTGCTGCAGGAGGAGTTCGTAGGGAGTCTCCACCGAACCTGGAGGCGAAGAAGCCTTCTGGGCGTTTGGGGGTCCTTTGTATTCGTGAAACTTGAACCTTGCTTTAGGTTGCTGCTTCTGCTTGCTCTTTTTGCGGTTCTTGTCTTTCCCGGGGGCCGGGTGTTGAGGTGGAGAAGCAACGCTGACCGGCGAAAGGGTAGACGGTGGCGAGGGTGAAGGTGAGACTTCCTCCGGAGGGCCACAATACGAGGAGGGATGCTGAGGCCGGCCCGAAGCTCCCTCACTGGTCGCCTTGAAAGCTAGGACCCCGCTCTTGACCGCCGTTTCGATATTTTCCTCCGTATGTAGTATATTCTTTTTAATGAGTTCAAGAGGTCCCGGCCGATGCGACAACTGATCGTTAAGTTGATCCGCGAGTCGCGCTTTCTTCAGCATACGTTGCTTTTCTGCAAGACTTGGGTCAACATGGCTCTCCTGTCGAAAAAATAAACAAAACATAAGTTTTATCTCTTAGCAGTTAAGCCTGGTCATAATACAAACAAATGGCCACATACTTTATATATTAAAATTTACCTGCTCTAATATATGTCTCCGTTCCAGTTCTTGACGATCCGGTCGTCGTTGTATTTTTGCCTTGAGTAAATCTCCAGTTTTCGCTCTTTCCAGTTGTTTGCATTGTTCAAAATAAGCAGGAGGTGTTTTCAATGCTGCAACAATAAAATAGTTAACTTTACTATTTATCAATCACTGTTTTCTCGAATTTCATAGCCACATTTTACTATAGAGGTTCTAAAAGTATAACATTGTCCTGACTCAAGTTTGTTTTGTAAGACAACATACAAACAATATCCTGATCAATACTGAGATCTTGTTAATTTTTATATTTATTATTTTCCTGTATTCTGCAAAATTTGAATTATTCGTGTTCAAATAAGAATTAATATGGGTTTTACACCATGATTTTATAGTGTATTAGTGTAATTTTTAGTGTGTCAATTCAGTGTTATTTATGAACCTTTTATATATACAAATTAAGGATTCATGGATACAAAATAAGGAATCATTCTTTCTCTAATTAGAAAACTAACATCATGTAAACTTTAAAACAAACATCCGTGACCGAAAAATCACAGAGATATAATTTTCTCATTTTAGATGTTGAATAAAACCGGCTGGATACATGTCAGACCACCCAGAGCACGAGGTTCCGTAGTTTCATTCTGTATGTTTACTACTTATTTTACGCACTATTACTTACAATATTTTAAATAGACATTTCTTTTTAATTCCCTATGTGTATCTTATACATTGACTAACTGCAAATATTTTGGAATCAAAGATTTACACGGAGCCTAAAATAATAAATAAAAAGTCTACTTTTGTGTATAATTTTAGTTCAATCAATATTTTGGTCATCCCCAACATATGCTTAAAGGCTAGGGCTACGCGAAGCGCCATTTGAATGACTATGTTTAGAGGACAGTCAAAAATAAACCTATTAAAAGAAACTTTTTTCTGGATTTGTTTTAACGACTTTATCGTCGTTTTTCATATCTGTACTCACTCATGCCAAATTATAATTTCCTAGTACTAATAATCTCAGAGTTAAACCACGTAAGACAAAACTTTAAATGTTCCTCATTGGCTATAGAGAACCCTGAAAAAAGGCGGCTGTAGTTTATTTATCATTCGGGCGATTCGTAAAAAGATAGTAAAAAATATTTCGTTTTCACGAGTCCAGTTAGATATTCTTCTCATTAGACGTGCTAAGATCGTAAATAAATTCTATTCTCCCACGCGTGCGAGTCAGACGCGGCCGTCGCGATCTCGGCTCAAGCTTCGGCATCTCCCGGCATTAATTGCCATACATCATATTCCATTTTTAACCAAGATGTAAAAAAACGAACTTATCTATATCCGCCGACGCATCTTCGGTCAGATGTGTCGTGGAATGTCAGAGCTGGCAATGCAATATGACATTTAAGCTTTCACACTCGACGGAAGTTTCGACCAATAGATAATCTAAACCAGCTAAGGAATGAAATGCATTGCCTGGTCATGTATTCCGCAATCAGTATTCCTGGCACTGTTCAATGCCAGAGTGAATAGGCCTAACCACATATACCATCTTAGGCCACATATTAGTTACCATCAGGTCAGATAGTGGCCAAATGTCAAACCATTCTTAGAATAAAAAAAATATACTTCTATGAGACGCTTGCCGGATCATCTATTAGATTTACACTGACCCTAAATTTGAAATTGCATCCAAATCATATTTAGATTTTGTACTTACGCGGCATGATTCCTTGGGCCACCAGCTGCGTGATGGGGCGTCTCATCATCAGCTTCACTTTTAATGCTGCGAAACAAAACAACAGATGATAAGAGACCATTTATGACCGCCACCAACCTCAAACACGACTATTAACTTCGCGTTTTCCTTACTACTATCATTTTCCCGGTGTGTGTGGACATAATAAAATGCAATAAATATTACGTAGTTGTCAAACGAACGGGCCAGTGAACGTTTTAACATTCTAATGACATAGTTTACGGACTGCCTTTTTCATACAACAATGAGCACTGATTGAATAGCTTGTGCGGCAGTGAAAACTACTACGGTGTTATGACGCCAGATGGGTGACGAACTTTGACGTAGCATAACGAGTTGAGGTAAGGTCGACGTGATCGATGCGTGTATCGATATAAAACGATGATCGTTGTGATAATATAGATGGAGGGGTGGCGTGGGCGATTAATTCTATGTAATGTTGTTTGTGTGTAGACAAGCGGCAAAGGCGACGGGCGGCGGTAGCTGCTGGCGGATCGCCAACATAAATAAACACTACACAAGGAAACTAGTGTTATGCCGCGACCGTATTACAGACGAAACATGCACTAACACTAGGCCGCATATTATAGGTTACTGGGCGTTATCCACTCGTTGAAATTTTGCAAACATACCGAAACATACATGAATACTATAAAACAATTTGATAACGCATGAACTTTATGAGCTATTAGCTTTCTGCCAGCGGCTTCGGCTCGGATATCTTATGAGTACATGCATGTATTAAATTAATAAAAATCCGTTTAGACTATTTTGCGTGAAATACAGCCAGATTCACTAACGTCCATTAAAATTGTCATTAATTTAAAGCGACATTACCCATACAAATTTGACATTCATTGGAGCTTAAAGTCGTCATTATACCTTAATGGACGTTTGTGCAACTGACCGATAGTAACAAACATATATCCTCACACACTTTCGCATTTATAATATAACTAACTGAAAACTATTGGGAAATTTATTTTGCGATGCAACTCATTTTTTTTCTGAAAATTCATCCTTTATACGTACCTATATCAACTAACCTACAATCCTATACATTAAATAAATCAAAAATAGCATAAACTAAAATTATTATAATTTTAATTATAATTTAAATTTCAATGTCTAAAAGTTTTAAGTATTAATTAATTAAGAATAATAATAATTCGTCAATCTATAGTAGTTGTCCTTTTCTATGTTTCTATTTTCTCGCAATCAATACAGCTGTAAAATATAGTTAAGTATATCCATTATATTGTGATTAATGTACGCAACATTGGATTGATGCTAACAGATAGGCAGATTTAAATAAGCAATCGTTATAAAATGTAAACATAGGTGATGTTGTGTAAGATCGCATTTACGAAGTTGTTACAGACAAGTGATGACAGTTGAAAGAACCGAGTTTCATAAATCGACAAACACTATGCGAAATGGTCACGTATCGCACATGTGCCAATACTGTTTTACCATTATAACTAAACTAAATATTTTTCATTTTTATTTGGGTATTAATCATTGTGAAATATTATATGCTCTGTTATGTTTTATTTATTTAATACTTACTACACAATTGTACACGGGCGAACTTTATGGTCAAATAAAGTTTATTATTATTATGTCGCTTTATTTCTCAGCTAGAGTTCGTTAGTTTCCATAATAACGGAACCTCAAAAAGTTAAAACAGCATTATTAATGATATTCCATAGTTGATTACATGTAAATCAAAGAAATAAAATTATTCTAGTGTATCTATACTTATATATACAAAGGTAGTTTTAACTTTACTAGTTTGTTGTATCTTCGGAAATACTAAACCGATAATGAAAAGTCTTTCACATAGGGAAGTTACATTATCACGGGAAAACAGCTAGTCGTAATATTTAATAAGTTGTTTTGACAGTCAATGTTAAAGTCAGCGTGACAGATATTGTCAAATTTAACATAAACCATAACTTCAACTATGGTGCAACCACGACTAACGGCCGGTTTCTGAATTGATAAAAGCCCAAAATTCAACTGATTATTCTGAATAACTTCAGTTTTTTTCTTTTAACAAGCCAAAAACTTCTAGTTTTTATCAAACTGCTATCAACTAGTTGTTTAAAAAACTAAAAGCTGTTTAAGTGACGTTGCTGAACTTTAAATACTCAATTGAGAAACAGGGTTTAAGTATAGTTTGTGCAACAGAAATGCTATCAAAGTGTGTTATTTATAATTTTCGTTTTCATCAATGTAGTTTATTAGTGATTCAGATTGCGTATCTCGATCAGGAAACTGAGACCTCGCGGGAATTGTAATGAGCGTACGCTAGACGCCGCCACTACGGCGAGACCTAAGGCCACTGGCCTGTCACACGTTCATTCATAGCTGACAAATATATACAAATAGATATTATTAAGAGGTTCCTAACTTTGTTTGTTTGTAATAATAATGGGTAATTCTTTCAATTACTGGAAGGAAAATTATTCCTGATCATACGCGAGTACTATAATTTACGCGGACGAAGTTACGAGAAAAGTAGCTAGTTTATTGAATTTAATGCATATTATAGTATCGAGACTGTCCTCGTTTTTATACTAATCAAATTTTAAGCTAAAAATTAATAATAATCGCATTATGTTACTTATCGTCACGATAACAAAATTCAAATATAAATAACCGTAATAAACAATAATCTCTAGTTTTATTGTTAATTTATTGGTTCATAAAGATCAGAAAATTATATGATATCGACATTAGTGTTGGGTTGGCGTTTATAATTTTATGACTGATTCGATGCAGGTGCCACTAGCACTAAGTATTACAATTCAAGTGACATTATCCAACGTCCCGTAATAATAACAAATTTAATTTAGTTAAGGTTGCCGAAATTATATCTTAATGATAATTCAAATAACGCTCTTATAAAAATAATTTGAACATTTTTAAAAGCTCTCAGGCACAATTTTATTAAAGCCTCCTTGAAATAATAGAACAAAATCGTAACTAACATTTCGGAACTTATACACATAAAGAAACAAATATCTACATTTTTGTTATAGCTCCATATTGCATTTAAGCTGAGTTAAAATGTATCTTTGGAGCTCTCTTTGTTAGCAATTTGCCCAAGGGCCGGTCATAGGACAGGTGATCAAAAATTTATTATTTCGAGCGCCTCCGTGCTTCGGAAGGCACATTAAGCCGTTGGTTCCGCCTGCATCTGTAGTCGTCCACCCACAAATCCGCACTGGCCCGCGTGGTGGATCACGACCCATTCTCCCTACACATGTATTTACTTACATTCTTTGTGCTTGCCCATGGCTGGCTGCAGCGGGCTATCGTCGACGACCACCTTGGGCGGGGAGATGCGAGGCGAGCTCGGCGGCTCGCTGGCGCCGCTGCCCCCCGCCTGCCGCCCAGCCATCTCCTCTGTGCCCGAACTGCAAAATTTATTTATTTTCATTTCAAAAGATCCCAAATCCCGATACTAAACTCCGCAGAAGGACAAAGCGCAGGAAAATACACCTGCATTATTTTTCATTTTTGTCTGTACCAACAGAGCATACATCTGCTAACTTTAACTATCTTCCATTTGAACTGTATTTCTTGTCTCTTCATTATGCTAGCTAGCGTAATGAAGCTAGCTTTACTTCCTAATTTAGATAAAACATAAGAATTGAAAACCTGAATGTGTCGTCTGAAGGCGGCGTGGACGGCGAGCGCGGCGGCGACGCGGGCGAGGCGGCGCGGCTGCGCTCGCGACGATGCTGCGGCTTGAACCACTCGGGGTAGATGGCGCTGAGGGTCTCCACTAGATCGTGGTCCAGTGTCACGCGCCACGACGTGCGCCCCTCCGAGCCCTCCGAGCCGCCGCCTGCGCCGCACGACGAACGGCTCTCTGAAAATAGCACATTGTTATTAATTGTAGACTCCCAAAACATGTATAATGAGTAGTGTTGCCAGACGTCGTGGGACGTCCAGTATTTCATGCATAAATTAAAATGTCTCGCGGGCACCGACTTGATCCCGTATATCCAATCGATTTTACAAATGGTATTAAAGTGGGGTAATTAACGAAATCAATGTACCTCTAACTTAATTAAAACCAAATTAATTATATTATATATTTAACTATGATTAAATTCATTTCTTGGTTTTATATTAATTTTGAATAAAAAAATTAAATCCCGTATTTTTTACAGACTGAAAAAAAAACCGGCAACCTCAACCGCAGAAAGTTGTCGATCAACAGGTCACAAGACCAAAACGTGTACTGTGTAATACAGGAGGTCAACACTCATCGTTAGATGGTGGTTAGTCAGTATAGGTTGGGAAAGGTATTTGAAACATTGTACAAGTGCAATGAACTTTTTTACGCAATGCAATTGAATGGTCGAAGTACGGCGGACATTAAATATGAATAAAATGATACCTATCTCGCTTTAACAAATATATTTAAATAAGTAGCGTAATACAGAAACTAATAGCATATAAATGGAAGAAACTCACACGTTGATTTGATTTGTAGCGACTACAAGAGCAGTAAGCGTTTAGGATACACAACATAACTAAAAACACGTAATCATTGTAAACAAATTCGAAGAGCGCTAATGAGGCAATAGGTAATCACATCAGATGAAAGATATTTCGGTTATGGGCGCGGATTGTTGTTGGGCAGGCTGGATGGAGTGAGGCGGGCCAAAACAGTTGGCAGCAACAAGCCCGTATGGTTAGGGCTGTCAGAACAGAAGCTGTGAGTGTAGTTGTAGTAAAATAACACACAATGTGCATGTTTAAACTTAAATACACTCTAAAAAAATGTGATATCAAACAAAATTGTGATATATGTGACCAAGCATCTTGTTTCCATATGAGCCTGACAAGATGTAAGATACATTAAATAAGATGGTTTTTATTATTATTACTATAAGTTACTTTGTTAAGATAATTAAGATTTCATTCAATTTGATCATTATAAATAACTATAGCAACTACCTCCTAGTCTCCAATTTAAATAAGATCGTAGTCGATTTGTATATGATATGTGACTGTATGAACAATTTACCACAGTTGATTCAACCAAGAGGTTGGTAAAAAATAACATGAAACGTGGCTAAACTAATCAATTCACGGAAGTCAATTTGACCAAAGAGTTGGTCAATTTAACTATGAAATATGATTGTACTTACCAATTTACCTTAGTTCTTTCAACCGATAGGTTAGTCTATATTAGCATGAAACATCGTTGTACTAACCAATTTACCGAAGTTAATTCAACCAACATGTTGATCGATATTAATATGAAACTTGGTTGTTCCAAACAATTTACCGAAGTTAATTCGGCTAATTAAGATTGGTCAATTTAAGCATGAGATATGATTATACTAACCAATTTACCAATGGTAATTCAACCAAGGGAACCAGACACTTTAACCGTTTCATCATTCTGAACTTTTGGTCCAAAGCGAGTGAGATTTTAAACGGCATATTACTTATACAATCTAACGATATAAACTGATACTGCGATGCATTAAATGAACAACGCCATCTAATTTGGAGACTTAGAACTATTCGGGCAGCTATGAAGATGATGGGTGTGTTACACATAAGTATCTTTTCATAACAATATTCAAACAATATTGTCGCAAGCTTGAAATTTCATGTTTTCTTTGGTTTTACTAACGTTCTTTGTTAAATCAAATACGAGAAACTTATTACTGCAACAATAAAAATCGTCTAATCTATTACTTTACCTATTTATTTTGATTAATTTGTATAAATTGCTTCAACATACTTAGTGGTTAAATTCAACTATTAAAAATAATTAATTCACACAAAAAAATCCAGTAATGATAGATATAATAAATATATTTGATAGAATTAATCAGGGTTACCAAATTTTTAATTTAACCATACTTTAACTAGTTGTTTCAATGTTTCAGCTTTGATTGATTTATGTAAATAAGTAATTGTTTTATTCAATATTATGTCAACCAAGAGAAAATCGCTCTTTGTCGGCCTCCATTTTTTAGAGTGTAGAATAGGTGAATATACTTTAAATAAATGTTTGACAAACAGTCCCAACATTCATGAAATATGACAGCAATAACTAATTAGTTTCAGACAGCGACAGCAGTTGATAAAAATGACTTGGCAAACATAAACAATAATGATTCATCTCATCGGTTCAACGCTTCGTTTATGATATCTTAATCAGTGTACAAATAATACTGACTGTAGAATATTAATTAAGATGTTAAAAATATTAAAATGAAAGATAACCCAATCACTACCACCCACACATATACAAACAAAATACTAGTTTTCTTCATTAAACGTAGTTTAAATAGAAGTAACGCTTTTAAAATAAAAGAAGATGAAGTAATAATTTCTTAGTCATAACTTACTCTACTGTATTATTAATATTAAACAGTTTTAACAAGTATACAGGGAGCATTTACAGGACCAGGAATACAATCCAATTGCTAATCTATTAGGCTCCCTTTGGATAAAACCAATTAAAGAAAGGAAATATAATCGAGCGTATGGTACATAGAATAAATAATACAAATATTATAGTAAAAATATATGCCTATACGTTTGTCTGTCTGCTAATTGTACATGGTCAAAGCACTGGGATAATTGTGGTGCAATTTGAGAAACATCTATTTGATAGTTTGATGCTTGGTTTCCTTGTCTTAGGAAATATCAATAATAAAATAAATATCAATATATCAATAGTAATTACTTGTGAAAATATCATTAGTCAAGCAAATATTTTTTAACCAATAGACGGGAATTTGAATTAAGTAAGAACTGTCAATACCTAATTATAATAGTACGAGGGTCAAACTGAAAGTTCTTAGAACTGGCCACTTATAAACAATATAATAAAAAAATAATTCTAAAATTTGAAAATATAACTCTTTGCCAATATTACTGAGTATATATTTCATTCATTTGTCATTTGTTTTACGATTTGGCGGCAAATTGAAAATTGTCTGTGTCACGTCATCATGAATTTAACACGAGAAAATTTTCGTGCAATGATTTTTTATGACTTTCGATGTCATTTAAGTCAACAAGAAAGTTATGATAGACTACGATTGGCCTTTCACGATGAAGCCCCATCTCGTGCGACTGTTTACAACTGGTTTAATGAGTTTAAACGTGGTCGCACTAATCTCACTGATGATTTACGTGAGGGACGGCCTTCTACGGCGACGACTGAAGATAACATCTGTGTTGTGCGGCGTATGATAGAGACTGACAAAAGAGTGACCTATCAACAGATTCGGACAAGCTTAGGCATCGGTATGAGTCAAGTGCACAAAATCCTCCACGAACATTTAGCGGTCAGGAAGCTTTGCGCCCGGTGGATACCTCATAATTTGACTGAGGCTCAAAAACTCCATCGTGTGGATTGGTGTCGTAAAATGATTGGAAGATTTAACGGAGGTGACTCAAATGCTGTGTTCGACATACTAACAGGTGACGAAAGCTGGATTTACTGTTATGATCCTAAAACCAAAAGACAATCTGCTCAGTGGGTGTTTCCTTTCGAGGAGTTGCCAACTAAAGTGAAGAGAGATCGAAGTGCGGGAAAAAAAATGGTGGCCTCGTTCTTTGGAAGGATAGGTCATTTTGCAACAATTGTGTTAGAGGATCAAAAAACAGTTTCTGCAGAATGGTACACTACCAATTGTTTGCCACTTGTCTTGGAAAAAGTTCGAGAGAAACGACCTCGCAGTAGGATCCTCCTTCACCACGACAACGCCTCGTCGCACACCGCCAAGCGAACGATCGACTATTTGGCGACATCAAACGTTGAATTACTGGGTCACCCGCCGTATAGCCCCGACCTCGCGCCTTGTGATTTTTATTTATTTCCAAAAATTAAAGAAAAACTTAAAGGAAAGCGGTTTATGAATGCTGAAGAAGCGGTGGCTGCGTATCGCGATGCCATTGAAGAGACCCCTAAGGACGAGTGGGCAAAGTGCTTTTCCCAGTGGTTCCATCGCATGCAGCGGTGTATTGACGTGAATGGACAATATTTTGAAAAGATATAATAAAACTAATAACTGGCTAATGTAATCAGTTTTTGATTTTCTAAGAACTTTCAGTTTGACCCTCGTATTATAACTTTTGAGTCATTTGTTCAAAATATTGTTTACTTGTTGATAATATCAGCTTAATTTATGATATTTTACTCAAGTTATTACTTTTCTCGACTATAATTACGTAAATATTTTAAAGAAATATAATAATCATACAAAAAAAGCCTGAGGTAATGTTCCCTCATTATTCTGGTCCTTTTTAACTTCTCCTCAAATTATTTTACTTAACATCATATTAGAGCAAAACATGTTATCGGTAACCCTACTCCCATATTGCGATTGTTTACGAGTATGATTGTTTCGAGTCCTTGAACGTGTTTGCGTGCGCTACTCGCTCCTAGCTCTTTGATGCATCAATGCTCGAGAGGATGCTATTTGCCGCTTTACGATTATTATGAATAAAGCGTGAACAATTCCCGAGATAGTTTATGGTAATCACGAATTCTTCATGAACAGTATGACACTGTAGCGAATACGATGACAAAACTTTACAGTTAGATACTAACTGATATTTGAACTTTTAGTTGCGATCAACACAATTATATTTACTGGCTTATTTCTTCCCAGATCAATATCTTTGCATTTAAACTCAAGACATCTGTGGTATAGTAATTTACACCTCTCTATCTTCTTCAGTGGAAGATGTTGTTTTTAAAAACATAGTACTCAAAACTTTATATTAAGATGTCTATAAGGACTCCATTTATCATACTAGACAGTATGCTTATCGTTGTTTTCCAAAGGTGTGCCATAGTAGATAATTTAATAAGATAAACGCCTA